TAGGCCCGAAACGTCAGCCTCTCTGCTCCTATGATGCTGCTTGGCCTGCTGTGTTCATCCAGCCCTGCACCTTGTTGTCTCGGATTCTCCAGCATCTGCAGTTCCTACTATCTCCAATGCTATATATACCTCAATTTCCTTACTAGCTTTCCTTCTTAGTTGCTTGTAGCTTCCTACTTACTTAGTTTTAAACATTTCACTGTTACTAATTGGTCAGCATTATATCAGAAGAGTACAGTTAACATCAGGGCATCTCACCTCTGCTCACTGTGAAATGGCAGATCTACCTCACTATCCTCACTCCTTTGTTATTTTATAGAGTTGTCCTGTCTATGTTCTCAATGTGGGAGAAAGCCCATGCTGTTGGGGAGTGAGTGAGTAGGTGTGGGGGATGAACAGAGTCACAAATTTGCATGGTGGTATGGGACTGGAAACTGGCGATCACAAAAACAGATATTTTAATTGCATACCTCATAATATTTCACCAATGTTATTATAAATCTGCTCTAAACTACATGCTCTCATTGCCTGTCGGGACTGTCTACATGTAGAAAATATGTTCACCATCCTGAGAAAACCTTACATCTTGTGAGCTTGAACTTATCGTTCAAACATTTGTGGTTCTGAAGTCTGCAGCACTTGTCTGCATTGCCTGGGTTCAATTATTCTAGTGCCCAAGAATGTGAGTGCTCCACCCCAATACTTCATTTCTCCAGAGTGAAAATTCCAAAGTTCCTCAAATGCTCCTTAGCGCAGATGTTCAGGTGATATCAGTATAGAGATTCAGTAAATGTCTCTTCAGAATTGGGTTAGGCATTAAATTAGAGCTGTTATATCCACATCACAACTAAATTTAAAATGGACACAGGTTGAAGTGATATCTAATATCAAGGAGTTAGAAACTTCAATTGTCACAGATCTTAAAACAATCTTTTATAATTGTATTGGTGACAGAAAACAACATGAACTTCCAAACAAAAAAGGGTAATTATCTTGTTAAAATTATTATTAAACAAAGATAACTACTTTCAGACAAATGGAGCAGCAGACAGGTGAAGAAGTTGATAGAAAGAACGTAATTCTCAATCTTAACTTTGTGAAGAATTGAACAGTAACATTATCTTTGGACAGAGGTGAAAGATCTGTAAATGGAGATCAGTTCAATGTGTTCATTTTCAAATGTGAACAATATTAACCACTGACATAGCACAAACCCTTATTCCTTTTCAAAGTTAGTAAGTCAGAGCAACTACGTAAACCCACCTGGTTTACCATCTGCATAGATCCCATCAGGTCCTGGGGACTGGTTTACATTAATGTTTTTTAAAAAACCCAACATCTTTTTCCTTTTTATATTGACACACCCCAAACTATCAACATACCCCTCCTGAGACACACCACCCACCATGTCCTTCTCCTTTGTGAATACCAGTGCAAAGTATTTGTTAAGGACTTCACCCATTTTCTCTGGCTCCATGCATAAATTCCTTCCTTTGTCCTTGAGTGAACCTACCCTTCTCCTAGCTACCCTCTTGCTCATTACATATATATAAAATGCCTTTGGATTTTCCACAATTGGGTTTGCCAAATACATTTCATGGTCCCTTCTAGCCCTCATATTTCCTTGTTTGAGTTCTTTTCTGCTATCTTTGTATACTTTGAGGGCTTTTCTGTCTTCAGTTTCCTAAATCTCATGTGTGCCTCCTTTCTCTTTTTGACTAATTTCCAATTTCTCTTGTCATCCAAGGTTCCCAAATCTTGTCATCCTGATCCCTCATTTTCACAAGAACGTGCTGGTCCTGAATTCGAATCAACTGGTTTTCATAAGATTCCCACATACCAGATGGGGATTTATCCTCAAACAACTGCCCCCAGTCTACGTACCCTAGTTCTTGCAAATATTGTGGTAGTTAGTCTTCCCCTAATTTGTACTAATCTTGTCCTTATCCATAAGTAACTTAAAACTTACAGAACTATTGTTATTGATCCCAAAATGCTCCCCCACTGAAAATTCCATCACCTGGCCCGGCTCATTCCCCAAACCAGGTCTAATATGGCCCTTTCCCTATTTAGATATTATTTTAAAACACCTTCCTGGATACACCTAACAAATTCTCCACTACCCAAGCCCCTGGTACTAAGCAAGTCCTAGTCAATGTACGGAACCCTGTTGTTTTCCCATTTTGCCATAATCTGTCCACATATCTGTTTCTCTATCACCCACAGGCTGTTGGGAGGCAACCTCCCCCACCTCTTGTACACCCATCTCTATCTTGCCCGAAGTACCAAAATCCCAGAACGTTAAGCTGCCAGTCTTGTCCATCTCTCAACCAAGTCTCTGTAATAGCTACAACGTCATTTCTCTTAGTCTTCCTGGTCTTAACCACAGACTCTTCCTCAGTCATACTACTTGCTGAACTTCTGCTCTGGTTCCCAACCCCCTACCACACTAGTTTAAACTCTCCCGGAGTCGGACTAACAAACCTCCCTGCCAGGATATTGGTGCCCCTCCAATTTAGGTGCAACCCATTCCTTCTTGAACAGGTTCTACCAACCCCAGAAGGCATTCTATTGTTCCACATGCCTGAAGCCCTCCCTTCTACAGCAGCTTTTTAGCCAGATATTTAACTGTACTATCTTCCACTTCCTAGCTCAGTGGTAGTTGGCACGGGAAGTAATCCTGAGATTACAACCCTAGAGGTCCTGCTTTTCAACTTCCACCTAACTCTCTGAACTCTCTTTGCAGGATCTCATCTCTCTTTCTGCCTTTGTTGTTGGTAACACTACGGACCAAAACCTCTGACTGGTCCCCCTAGCCCTTTCAGAACATGGAATCATAGAAGATAGATAGAGGTCATTTGGCCTATTGAGTCTGCACTCCAAAGTGTCCCGTAGCCCCACGTTTATCATGGCTACTCCACCTAGCCTACACATCCCTGCACACTACAAGGTAATTTATCATGGCCAATCCACCTAACCTGCACATCTTTGGACTGTGGGAGGAAACCAAAGCACCTGGAGGAAACTCATGCAGACATGGAGAGAATGTGCAAACTCCACACAGACAGTCATCATAGGCTGGAATAGAACCCAGCTCCCTGGTGCTGTGAGGCAACAGTGCTAACCACTGAGCCACTGTGCTGCCCAGTATCCCCATATCCTGTGCCAACTCAGAAACATCCTTGACCCTGTCACCAGGGAGGCAAAACACCATCCTGAAGTCTCATTTGCGGCCACAGAAATGCCTATCTATGCCCCTGACCACAGAGTTCCTATCACTACTGCTTGCCTACAATCTGAACTGCTGTACAACAGTACTCGATGTGGTGCCCCTGATCTGTCTGCTGCTGCTTTCCCCTGAGAGGCCACCACTACCACCCCACAAACAGTATCCCTGTTTGAGAGGGAAACGGCCACTGGGGACTCATGCACTGCCTGCCTGAATTTATTCTTTTTCCTGGTGGTCACCCAACTCTTCTCTCTGTGTAGCCCTTACTGGAGGTGTGACTAACTTGCTAAACATGCTATCCATGACATTGTCAGCCTTATTTAGCTTCTGTTGAGGGGATTGCAGGAACAGAAACAGTGAAAGTGTACAGAAATCTTTTTGAAGGTGGCAGGACAATTTATAAAGGCTGTTAAATAGGCGTAGAGAGTCCTTCCGTTTATAAATAGAAGCACAGACTAGACAAGCAAGGAAGTTATGCTGCAGCTTTGTAATTCTGGGCGCAATGGCACAGTTACACAGGTATTACAAATTAAGTTGCCACAAACTTCAAGCTCCATAAATGACATTCCACATCCAAGTTCAAGGAATAAAACTTAGAAAATAGTGGGCATATACAGGGAGACAGTCCGCCTCTCTCAGAGGATGTGTTAACATTTTAGTTATGATCCTTCAGCCTAAGCTAAAGCATTAACCAATGCACTTTTGTGCATTTCCATCAGTGTTTCTGATTTTCTTTAACTAATGATTTATTCTGCTCAGCCCATACTGCAAATCTCATCAGGTATTCCAAAATATGATCCCTCAACCCAATCCAGTGACATGAAGAAAATTCTTTTCTTGCAGTAGCCTGATAGAGATGAGAACACAGGAAGGAGCAAGAAAAAGCAAGGTAACAGCTGAAACAGTTATCACAACCATATTAGGAAAGCATGTTACTGAACTCCTAAACTTGTATTGTTGCTTTTCATTGCTAATGATGCCATGTGTTCCTCCAGCTGGCACACATTTCAGGACATGCACTTAATACAAAGGCATGAGCAAAACTGCACAAAAACAATACCTCTGTTGTGGGTTGACCTTGTTGGTTCAAATCAAGATCCTGAGGGCGGGCAACCTTGTCAATGTCCAAAGAATCCTGGCTAGATGTGGCAGAAGTAACACTGGATCGAGATGAGGTACTGTTTGAGCGGATGTCTGTATCGCTGACCGTTCCAGCTGATCCTGTTCTCCTGTGCTGATTGGGCAGAGAGGGTTTTGTATCATATGTCATGGCACTGGTCTGCCGTGCTGCCTCGTCCATACTAAGAGAAGCTTGTTCCAGTTGGGCAGTAATATCATCCAGTGAAAGATTGGTTTGCAACGACTTTGGGCTTCTCACTGAAGAAGAACCCTTCAAGCTGCCGTGCTTAGAGGATGCTCGAGTGACAGATTGTTTCTGAGCAGGTTTGGCTTCTTTGTTGGATATCTTAGGAGGTACTTCTTCTTTGAGAGATTTTCTCACAACACTGTCATGTCTGGAAGGTTCTTTGCTGATGTTACTGAGTTCCTGTTCCATAGAGCAGAGATCTGCCATGAGAGCATCCAAATCCACTCCATCTCCCTGGCTCAGAGCCTCTGAAACATGCAGCACGTGCAAAATTAAAAAGAGAAAGAGAAAGATTAGTGTCAGTGCTAATACTTAATATCGATCAGAAATTGTTCTGAACCTCGATACTGATTAAAGCAACGGACATTTAATCTTTGGATAGGGTCTAAAATTCTATCTGAAGCTGTACACCCAGCAAAAGATCCTGCGCTTAGAACTATATTCCTCCAACCCCGCAGTACTTTTAAAGGAGTTTGTAACAGTAAATTGAGGCAATGAAGTAGACAATCAACCACGATGTGAGGGAATGGCACAACAGGATCAATGAACTGAATGTCCTACTCCGGTTCCTTAATATCCTGTGTTAAGTATGGCACTTAAAATGAGGGCACAATGGTTCAGTCAAGGTGTATGTTGACAGTTTCAAACCTTACACAGAATAGGAGGAAAACCATACCATAACTGAGTTGGAAGTTTAAGGAAACCCCATCGATTTTCAACATAAAGAAGGATGAAGAGAGATATTGGAAGACATATACCTACGCAGTCTCACAGCAAATAGTCTATTTATAAATGTAAAAATGCTGTATTGGGGCAAGTGAGTTTGAGAGATAGGGACTTGTTACCAAGACTATTTGTGGAACAACAATTGTTTCCTTGATTCAGCTCAATGGGTTGAAACATTGAGCTATGAATTTTTGACTGGACAGTTCAACAAGACATTCTGTAACTGACAAAGCACTGTAAGGGATGAATTAAGCTACTGAGGTAATTAGAAAAAAAGAACAAATGACTTGGTGGGAAAGTATTTGAGGTCCTAGTCTTACCTTCTACCCTTCTCCCATCCAAGGTGAGGAATATTGATGCTGACAACACTTTCCATTTCTAAATTAAGGGGTCTACATCGAGCCTTTTCAGTGCAGAAAAATCACAGATAGAAACAGACATGCTCCTTCTACATTGTCTATCACACTCCCAGGATAGGGACAATATGGCATTAGATACAGAGCAAAGCTCTTAACTCATTTTGCAAGATGACTCAGTGCAACCTTAAGTGCATCAGTAAAGCCTTTTGCATTTTCTACAATCCAGCAAGCCTCTCATTTAATACCAGTGAGATCTGGATCTCAGTTGAAGAATCTTTAAGGAGATGAAAAAAATTGAGCAAACCCATCTTCTGCTTGACTACACTGTAAAACATGCTGAGAATGAACACACAGTTTAAGTGCCACAACCTAACCAAACCTGATTACATTCAATAATTCCAGCAAAACTACTGGCCTATTTACAACCAGAGATATAACTACCACTAAAAGTAGCACCTAGTGTTTCCAGCCATTTTGCTCATTTTATGCTGAACTACTATTACCTCATGATGTTTTACTTTTTAACATCAATATATATTGATAGTATTTTCTTGCCTATATGCCTGAAGAGGCTGACTTTGGCTGGAACATGGGTCTACTGGTGCTTGTCAAATTCTGGAATCTCATTTAAATGTACATGCTTCACATGTGATCTTGTATTTGAATATCTCTAATGATTCTATCTTAGCCAGGAGATTATGTGGTCACGAGCGAGACTCCCAGATAGTATGTTGCCTCCTGGGTGCCGGGTCAGGAATGTCTCAGATCGAGTCTACAGGATTCTTAAGGGGGAGGGCAAGCAGCCAGAAGTCGTGGTACATATCGGTACCAATGACATAACTAGGAAAAGGGATGAGGACCTGAAAAGTGAATATAGGGAGTTAGGTTGGAAGCTAAAAAGGCAGGATAAGCAGAGTAGTAATCTCAGAGTTACTACCAGTGCCACGGGCTAGTGAGGCTAGGAGTAGGTAGTGAGTGCAGCGGAACATGTGTGAACACATGGCTGCAGAGCTGGTGTAGGAGGGAGGGCTTCAGACATTTGTGAAGATGGGACCTGGACAGGAAGGACAGGTTGCACCTGAACTGGAGGGGCACCAATATCCTGGGCGGGAGGCTAGCTACAGCTCTTCAGCAGGGTTTAAACGAGTTTGGAAGAGAGATGGGAACCAGAGCTACAGATCAGAGAATGGGGTAGCTGGTGTACAGGCAGATACAGCATGCAGACAGTCTGAGAGCGTGTCGATTTTAACGCAATTAGTGTCAAGAATAAGGGTGATGAACTTAGAACATGGATCAGTATTTGGAGCTGTGATATTGTGGCCATTACAGAGACTTGGATAACACAGGGGTAGAAATGGTTGTTGGATGTTCCAGGGTTTAGATGTTTCAAAAGAAATAGGGAAGGAGGTAAAAGAGATGGGGGAGTGGCATTGCTAATCAAGGATGGTATCACAGCTGCAGAAAGGGAGGTCGTGGAGGAGGGTTTGTCTATGGAGTCAGTATGGGTGGAAGTCAGAAACAGGAAAGGAGCAGTCACTTTATTGGGAGCTTTCTATCAACCGCCGAATAGTAACAGAGACACTGAGGAACAGATTGGGAGGCAGATTTTGGAAAGGTGCAGAAGTAATAGGGTTGTTGTCATGGGTGACTTCAACTTCCCTCATAACGACTGGAACCTCCTAAGTGCAAATAGTTTGGATGGAGCAGATTTTGTCAGGTGTGTCCAGGAAGGATTTCTGACTCAATATGTAGATAGACCGACTAGAGGGGAGGCCATATTGGTATTGGTGCTTGGCAACAAACCAGGCCAGGTGTCAGATCTCTCTGTGGGAGAGCATTTCGGTGATAGTGATCACAACTCCCTGACCATGGAGGGGGATAGGAGCAGACGGTATGGGAAAGTATTTAATTGGGGGAGGGGGAATTACAATGCTATTAGGCTGGAACTGCAGAGTATAAATTGGAAACAGATGCTCTCCGGGAAATGCATGACAGAAATGTGGAGGTTGTTTAGGGAGCACTTGCTACAAGTGCTGGATAGGTTTGTCCCACTAAGGCAAGGAAGGGATTGTAAGGTGAAGGAACCTTGGATGACAAGACGCGTGGAACATCTAGTCAGAGGAAGAAGGAAGCTTACTTAAGGTTGAGGAGGCAAGGATCGGACAGAGCTCTAGGGGGTGACAAGGTAGCCAGGAAGGAACTGAAGAATGGACTTAGGAGAGCTAGAAGGGGGTATGAAAAAGCCTTGGTGGGTAGGATTAAGGAAAACCCCAAGGCGTTCTATATTTATGTGAGGAACAAGAGGATGGCCAGAGTGTGGGTAGGGCCGATCAAGGATAGTGGAGGGAACTTGTGCGTGGAGTCGGAGGTGGTAGGGGAGGTTTTTAATGAATACTTTCCTTTAGTATTCACCAGTGAGAAGGACCTTGACATTTGTGAGGACAGCGTGAAACAGGTTGATGTTAAGAAGGAAGATGTACTAGACATTTTGAAAAACATGAGGATAGATAAGTTCCCACGGGCCAGACGGTTTATACCCTAGGTTACTATGGGAAACGAGGGAAGAGATTGCTGCGCCTTTGGCAATGATCTTTGCATCCTCACTGTCCTCTGGAGTAGTACCAGATGATTGGAGGGTGGCAAATTTTATTCCCTTGTTCAAGAAAGGGAATAGGGATAATCCTGGGAATTACAGATCAGTCAGTCTTATTTCTGTGGTGGGCAAATTATTGGAGAGGATTCTGAGGGATAGTATTTATGATTGTTTGGAAAAGCACAGTTTGATTAGAAATAGTCAGCATGGCTTTGTGAGGGGCAGGTCATGCCTCACAAGCCTTATTGAATTCTTTGAGGATGTGACAAAACACATTGATGAAGATAGAGCAGTGGATGTGGTGTATATGGATTTTAGCAAGGCATTTGATAAAGTTCCCCGTGGTAGGCTCATTCAGAAAGTAAGGAGGCATAGGATTCAGGGAAATTTGGCTGTTTGGGTACAAAACTGGCTGTTCAATAGAAGACAGAGTGGTAGTAGATGGAAAGTATTCAGCCTGGAGCTCAGTAACCAGTGGTGTTCCACAGCGATCTGTTCTGGGACCTTTGCTCTTTGTGATCTTTATAAATGACTTCGATGAGGAAGCGGAAGGGTGGGTTAGTAAGTTTGCCGATGACACAAAGATTGGTGGAGTTGTGGACTGCATGGAGGGCTGTTGTAGGTTGCAACGGGAATTGACAGGATGCAGAGCTGGGCAAAGAAGTGGCAGATGGAATTCAACCTGGAAAAGTGTGAAGTCATTCATCTTGGAAGGTCAAATTTGAATGCAGAATACAAGGTTAATGGCAGGATTCTTGGCAGTGTAGAGGAACAGAGGGGATCTTGGGGTCCACGTCCACAGATCCCTCAAAGTTGCCAACCAAGTTGATAGGGTTGTAAAGAAGGCGTATGGTGTGTTGGTTTTTATTGTCAGGGGAGTTGAGTATAAGAGCCGCGAGGTTATGCTGCAGCTCTATAAAACCCTGGTTAGACCACACTTGGAATATTGTGTTCAGTTCTGGTCACCTCATTATAGGAAGGATGTGGAAGTTTTAGAGAGGGTGCAGAGGAGATTTACCAGGATGCTGCCTGGACTGGAGGGCAGGTCTTATGTGGAAAGGTTGAGGGAGCTAGGGCTTTTTTTCATTGGAGCGAAGAAGGATGAGGGGTGACTTGACAAAGGTGTACAAGATGATGAGAGGCATAGATAGAGTGGATAGTCAGACTTTTTTCCCAGGACGGAAATGAATATTACGTGAGGGCATAATTTTAAGGTGATTGGAGAAAGGTATAGGGGAGATGTCAGAGGTAGGCTCTTTACACAGAGAGTGGTGGGCGTGTGGAATGCGCTGCCGGCAGTGGTACTGGAGTCAGATACATTAGGGACATTTAAGCGACTCTTGGATAGGCACATGGATGATAGTAAAATGTAGGGTATGCAGGGTAGTTTGATCTAGAGTAGGATAATGGGTTGGCACAACATCGTGGGCCGAAGGGCCCGTAACATGCTGTACTGTTCTATGTTTTATAATCGAAGCAGATACAAGAGCTGAGCCCCATTCTAATCTGGCATGAGATGCATATACAAGCACCTTCCAGCAGAGGTCACCAAGTAGCTATCAGGAGTAAGAATCCCACACAATTTCTCTCTCTCTAGACCAGGGGCAATCCAACCACATGTAATATTCCAACTGCCATCAAGCTCAGCAGAGACCAAAGATAAGTCATGCTCTAGTCATCACATAAGAACCCTAAGCAAGATATCAATGTTGTTTCTTCAGCAAGTTTCAAAAAGTCAACCAATCTCAAAATGAATGGAATACAATGAAAACACCAAAAAATGGAGATGGATTCTTGCTGCAAAATGCAGGACAAACTGTGAAGATACATGAAATCTGGAGTTTGGAGAACCTTGACCTCCAGGTCTGTTAAATTCCCTTTGGGTAATGAATGATTGGCTTCATAACTCCAGGTCTTGGACTGAAATAGTTTTTGCTGTACTTCTATCACAAGAACTGCTTTTGTCTTCGAATACACTTGAAGGTGTTGTGATTGTCTGCAGTACAGTTAGAGTTGACCTCATCCTTGGACAGCTCCTTTCAAACCCACAACCACTTCCACCTAGAAGGATAAGGCAGCAAGAAACATGGGAACATCACAACCTACAAGTTTCTCTCCAAGCCACTCACCATCCTTGGTGTGGAGTTGCCAGTGTTGGACTGGGGTCAACAAAGTCAGAAGTCAACAGGTTTATTTGAAATCACAAGCTTTGGAAACACTGCTCCTTCGTAAGGTGAAGTGACTTCTCCTGACGCAGCAGCAGCGATCGCATTAAATGTTGGAGCAGGCTCTAGAGGTGGAGTTGCCTACTCCTGCTCCTAGTACTAGTTCAAATGTAAGACTGAGCTACATAATGAGATAACAGAGTAGTTGACCTATAACTTGGTCAAAGTGATAAATTTTCTGAAGTATCTTAAAAGGATGAATAAGGGAGCACGGAGGAGAAATTTATCCATGGAATTCCAGAGATAAACTCAAGTTTGTGGAACAGGAGGAAGAAAGGAGAAAACCAACTACATCTATCACCCCTAATCACAATGAAATGGCTTTCAAAATCCCTGCTAGCAGGTGGCATATGCAATAGGGAAATAGCCTGCTGACAATGATCATCTTGATTCTTACATGAAGGATGAACAGATGAGAGATGGGTTAAGCCACAAAATATTTCTTGACATGCAGGAATCACCTCTTCAGTGTAACTAAGATGAATTACAGCTGGAAAATGCAATGGGTTTTGAACAGAAAGAAACATTTAACTGAGAAAAGAGTGACCTTTAAATGTGCTGCAAAGTGCAATCCTTTTCAGCTATGAAGGCTGAGCAGGATAATTATTTTTGCCAACCATGCTCATTTTCTCTCCTCCCCCACCTCTTGTTCTGAAAGGGCTTGTTTCTGTTGTTTGTTTGCATGATACCGATCACTCGCCAATTCTTGTCCTGTGTGTCATTTTTCATACCTGCTCTGAGACTGGAACACACAGCCAAAATTGCCCCTGTCCTCATCCAACATGCATATGGATACTTTCAATAGTGGACAGCTCAAATCTCAGGCTACTTCTCCTCTCTAGCCCAGAGTACAGACTCTTGCCAAACTGCCGACTGTGACAGTTCAGCTAACTCTTCACAGGTGCAGATACAGTCTGTACAGTTCAGTTACACCTGTCCTTGACCACCTAAGCAAGCCATCAGGATAGCTACTGTTACAACTGTTTACTTAATACAAAATACTCTCAAAGTACCTACTGCACTATTGTTGCTCCAAGCCCCAACAACCAGACAGTAAACCACATGAGATTCATGTTTACCACTCAAGGAGTATGGAATCAATCTAGATGTGGAGGTGGCAGCTTAATTTCAACATGAAAGAAATACGATATCCAAAAATCACCAATGAATAAGTATCCTGCTATGCATTAGCCTGAAGTATACATTCTGGCATAACAGGCCTATGCAGTCTGAGCTCCAGCAAGGTCAAAGACCTCGCTCATACTCGTGTAGGAATGTTGAATGAATAAATAGAAGTACCAAGAGACAGAATTATCAGAGACAAATAGGGACAACAAAAAAACCTCAGCAGCTAATAAAAGCAAGACAGTCTCCAATCGGAATTGTTTCCAGGCACAACAATCACAGCTCTCACCATTCAAATTGTACATCGAGAAGCGATAGGAGAAGTTTGCAAGATTGGTTTCTTGCCGAAGTGGGGATTTCTTCACCTCTTCAGGTTTCCCGGTATCCAAACTCTGATGAGATAAAATAAAAGCTGTTCTCAACTTCATTGTATTATTATAGTAACTGTAAACTCCTTTTAATTCAGCTGTGGAAAGGGATTTATTTCTGGAAAAGGATAATAATTCACAGTCAAAATCATAAAGTACATCAGTTAATTATTTTATATGTCTAGAAGTGCTCATATCAACAAGGTCAGTGTTCTTATTCTTGATCATTATCAGTGATCCCAGTTCAAAGAAGTGATGACAGCAGCAGGTTCAAATGTAACAACATTTATGTGTGAACAGCCTGTCTACACCCACTGCTGAGTTTCACACTCAAGTGTGTTGCTGGATGATGCCCAGTCCCAGTGCAACTAAATTCAGACAGAACTTGTACTGTTGAGTTATATTCAAAACAAAATGGGTCAGTCTTGGTATCTTGCTTCCAATAAACAAACAATCTAGTTGAACCTATCCTCTATAATGGAATCAAAAGGAACCATAGCAAGACCAATACCATACACTTTTTAAACAAATTAAAACCTGTTAATTTGCTGGTTAAGGAGAATAAGACCCAAGTGCAAAGAGGTAAGAGAGATTTCATTAGAGAGGTATGAAGTTAAATGACAGAAACTAGAACTCTGGTAATGGAAAACAAGAGAAATTGGAAAACAAAAGAAAATATTTATGATTTTAGGTTCATTTCTAATGGAGGATGTTTAAGTTCTTACAGTGCTGATACCAGTTCCACATACAAATAATCCTCTGAGAGAAAAGTAAATTTCCACCTTTTTTCTCAAGAGGCAGACTACTTATTCTTAACTATTTACCCTAGTTTTTGTCTCCTCTAACAGAGGAAACATCCTCCAGGTATTCCATCCTATCCAGTTCTTAATGTAACAACTAAAGGCAGAAATTGCTGGAGAAACTCAGCAGGTTGGCAGTATCTGTGGAGACATTACAGAATTAATATTTCAAGTCCTGTGACCCTTCTTCAAAAGAGTTCTTTCCACAGATACTGCCAGACTGCGGAGTTTCTCCAGGAGTTTGTTTTTGTTTGTTTTAGTTCTCCAGAACATGCAGGTTTTTTTGTTTTGTTCTTTTAAGACATTACATGTTTCAATAAGACCACTTCTCATTCTTCTAAACGCCAATATGTATAGAGCTAACCTATTCAACTTTTCTTCAAAAATAACCCTTACATCTCAGAAGGTTCGCCTGATATCCGAGGATGTGTGCAAATGGCTAGCTCATCAGTACCAACTTATCTGGATGGACTGGTGCTGTTGGTTAAATCCAGTACAATTATACCATTCTCTCTTGGAATTCATGGGCAAAGGTAACAGAGGAAAATGAGAAGGATAGAGTGGTTAAGTACAGAATGTGAAAATGTCAGCAAAATAAGTGACAGGAAGAAATGAAGTTGGCTAATTAAGGTCAGAATGTTCAATTTCTCTGTTTCTCACACTAAATTCTTCTATTCTTAGTAGTCACGGCTGCTGTTAAAAGCTGGAAAATCACAGCAACTATGAATATATCACTATTTTCTGAAGAAGGGTGCTGACACGAAACGTCAGCTTTCCTGCTCCTCTGATGCTGCCTGGCCTGCTGTGTCCCTCCAGCTCCACACTGTTATCTCTGACTCCAGCATCTGCAGTTCTTGCTATCTCCAACTATGACTAGTCTGTTTCCCCCGTATCCCAGTAACGTCATGACCGATATCATTGGCTGTACAGCCTTTAGTAAGTCGGTCCTCAATTCCAGAATTCATTATATCATTAACATCAGAAAATAAATGCATACACACACACACACACACACACAAACTACAAGTACAAACATGAATTATTAAAGTTTGATTATACAATACAGCAGGTCTCCTGCGGATTGGAGGAGTGTATTTGATTGTTAGCTCAATACATGAAGATCAACAACCCTTTAAAAGGCATTTCCCATCATTAGTATTCTTGGAGGTAGGATTATGGTTAATGCAACTGATGACCAATTGAAGTGTATTCAATGAGCAAAATCCAGTGATAGTGATGTGGAGGTGTCGGTTTTAGACTGGGGTGGACAAAGTCAGAAGCCACACGACATCAGGTTATCGTGCTGCTCCTTCATCAGGTGAAGTGAGGTGAATTTGGTGAGCAGACCATTCCCCATTAGACCCCAGTTTCTGATAGTCTTTATTTTTGCTCTAGGAGCAGCATGTATACCTGTTGGTATTTCTCATGCTCAACTGTGATACTGAAATTAAACCTGTCTTATCTATGAACTGCCATTGTCAAAAGAGGCAACAAGGAAGCTCATGGATCAATATGTTTAATAAGAAAAGATGGAAAAACCTGAACCTCGCCTATCTATACCTCAATCCCTAATCACAAGCTCATCTAGTTACTAACAAGAGGCAAAGAGAACTCTTGACATAAACAGTATACACGATCTGTTTATAAACAGATGTATCCCTGAGCAATAAAGGCAGTCAACAGACTACTCCCTGCACAATTGAGAAGCCTTGTAACCTCAAGTCAGGTTACTCTAACTTACCTGAGTGAGTTTGTCAAGCTCACCAAGCCAGGCGCCAAACATCTTATCCAAGTCCTGGTCCTCCTTATCACTGTCCTCCTCCGCAGCATGGTCCACATCTTCATCAGAGGTCTGATCCATCTGTAACCAAACAAACAATCATTAGGTTTATTTAAGATGTTGTATTGCAATGCAATTCAGAATTTAAACACAATATATCCTTTCAAATTCCTCCCACCATGCATGACAGATCTCTACCCACCAGTATGCTACTCCAGAGTTGTACAGTGACTGACCTCTACACACCAAATATTCTAGTGAAACCCTGTGCACTCCATTAAACCAGTATTATACATTGACAGACATTGTATCCAAAGCTGTACTCATGTTATACGGTGAGACTTGTCCCCCACAGTACTGTACACTATTTCACAATGTACCCACAAGAACTGCATACCAGCATAATGCCAAACCACATCAAGTAACACTATCCCAACATTATACAGCATCATATCCACAGTTGTACTCCAGTTTTATTTAGGGACAGACCTGTACTCACCAGTAATATACCTTAGTGTTATACAGTGACAGACCTGTTCTCACCATTAGACTGCAGTGGATCTGTATCTACCAGTATTGTTCAAATCACTATTATCATTAAGATGAATTAAACAGCTAGTACAAGCCAGTTGGCACGAGGAGGCTCTATACCCTATTGTGGGCATGCCATGAGACAGCCATCACTATACAAACACACACCAGCTATTAAACAGAACAAATCTCCAGTATAAAAGAGAGCTCAAAGAACATTCAGTTGGCAAGGGAACAAGTCAACAAGTCCACTCCCACAATTCCCCTGTTTTCACTGTAAGAAAATATATCCAAATAGAAGGCACCCTCATATATACTGCTATTAGGTGGTTGTAAGAGCATCAGCATGGTTGGGCAATAGTTTTGAATCTGATGATCCAGCTGGAGATGATGTGGTGAAACTGAGGGGAACCAGAATGTGCTCTCTCACTCTTCCTCATGCCTGAGAGTTCTCATTACACCTCAAATTGAGCTGCCACTCCCAGAGAAGCCATTGCTCACCACAAATGAACATTGTAAAAGTTGGATTAAATGATCTTATTCCCTCCCATCACATTTAATTTCCTCCTGTGATTTAAAGACCATGAACTGTTCTGAAGCAATAGGGGCTTTCAGAAGAATAATACCAAGCAAAGCTACCATAAGTTTCTCCAATCAAGATTTTAGTGTTAGGACAAAGTGTGAAGGAGTAATTCTGTTCAGTGGAATGGTGAATCCCACTTACAAATTAAAAATTACTGTCATGCATTAGTCATAAATAGCACTCACTGGGAACAGAATAACACACTCCACAATTTTTAAGACGAAATAGCTGCCTTATTGTTGTATTGGTATTACTAGATGGTATATTTGGCATCCAGGACATTTTTAAAAATGTTCAGAATAACGATAGGTTTGACCACTAGTCTATGAAAATTGACTGTTCTCAGCTGGAGACAGATCTAAAATGGTTGCAATCAGTCAACATGCCACTCAGTTAGAAAGGGGGGAGGGAGGGAGAGAGAAATCAATCTGCTCCTGATCTCTAATCAGTGGCTTTTGATGGTGAATGTGCATGTGTGGATGAAGAGATCAGTTGTGATGTCTTCCATAGTTTAATTGTTCACTAAAAGTCACAATCAAGGCTTAAAACATTAGAAACGGTCCCTTGGGTGTGGTATCAGAATGTCACCAGCACTATGAAATAATAAGTCAGTATACTTAAGTCTCTTGGAACAAGGGGATCAAGTGGGGAGGGAAAAAATACAGAAAAGGGAGACAGAGTGGAAGAGTTTAAAACAACCTGATAAATAGGATTACTGGGAAGAGGTATATGATGAAAGCTCAGGTGACTGAAATGACTTGCACTTAAGTGGCACTCTTAAATCCGTGAAATGCAACCTGTCCGCAGCACCCTCACGTATTTGTTGGAAACATGGCAGTCAATTTGGTAACAGCAAGGTTCCAAAAAAAATCAGTGAATCTGAGATTGTTCTCTTTGGAGAAGAGGCAGTTAAGAAACATGAAATAGATCTTTTTACAATTGAAGGATTCCACCGGCAAAAAGGGACACAGATTTTACGTAACTGTCAAAAGAACGAGCAAGGAAATGCAATGATATTTTCTTCCTGCACACAGAGGGTTATAGCGATCTAGAATGCACTCTGAAATGGTAACAGAACCAGGATTTCGCAGAAGCTTATAAATGAAGCAGCTGCTTCCACTGCTGGCAAGTTGACAATAAGGTGATGTGCACTGCATGAAGGGTAAAATGACAACATTTTTGTACAGGTTATTACAAAAGGGATGTTTTATTACAAATCCCTTTTAAAAAAGAGAAGAGAATGAATAATTTAAGATAGTATATAAAAGTAGTAAAAAAAGAGTTAGATTACCCTGCTGAGCTAGCACACTCAATAGAGAGGGCTCCATCAATGAGTGCTATTGCCAAACAATGTAGAATTGACAGTATCAAATCACATATATATAAAAATATGATTTACGGTACATACATCTGAAGGTATTGCCTTATATACAGCTGTGTTTCCTTAATTCATAAATAAGACTACAAAATACATAATATCTCAAAATGCAAAAGTACTAAACCCTGAAAGTACAAATAAAAATTAAAACAGTCTGCTTCCACACTGTCCTACTCATGGGTCCCAACACAACTGCCCCATCCAATCTCTCAAATCATGTTACTTTTCAAACAACTATTTGTAATATGAGCACAAACAGCACTCCAACATAAATAATTTAATCCAAAAATCAATAGCTGGAACTGAGCTACGGGTCGGGAGGCAGTACCAGTGCAAAATTGCTCTCTGGTGACCCAGATGGATATCCAGGACAAATTGTGCTTAAGACTGCTTTTTGCTTAAAAGTACCTGTATAAATGATACACATTTTAAGGTATAATTCACTGAAAGTTAAGGGATTAAGGAATTCACAGAGCTTGAAATCTCTCAGATGTGATGCTCAATTTACAACACTCTATCATTTGCCTAGCAAAAGTGACAACCTGTCCTTGGACTCCGTTTTTTTTTAATGAGCTTGCTGGATTTTCACATTAATTGATCATTAAACTAGCACAAAATAATAGTTAGTAATTAGTAGCATGAGCACCTTTTAGATGACTGATCATTTTTAATGCAACACTACTCAATCTTTCTGCCTCAGAAATTGAATTTACAGCATGGAATCTTAATTGGCATTTTTTTCCTCTTACAGACTTAAATAGAAATCAAATTATAATTTCTTACTTCACTTTTCTTTCTCTCGAAATTTAATCCTTGTCTGTCTGTTAAACAGATCTAACCAATTCATCTTCATCTTTGTTGTTCTTCTATTCAATCTTTTTGCTAAAATCTCAGTGGTTAAAGAGATAGACTGTTTGTCCTATCATTCACTAAATTCAGAGATACCCCATTGTCCTCACTGGGCTGTTTCAACTCAAACTCTCAGACAAACTTCCAGCAAATTACAGTGAATACTGGTGACAATAAAGCTAATTCAATACAATTCAATTCAATATAAAAACATTGAGATGATGTCCATAAAAGTCTAATAGAACATAAGATCCAGCATTTTCATCCGATTTGCCACTTCTGATTGAAAACAGCTCCCTACAACCAGAAATAGCTTCACCAAAAGTAATTTCTCAAGACACATGTCAGTTAGGATGCTTTACGCTATTGACTCAACTACCAACAGACACATTCTAGAATTATTATACTGTTGGTGCTGTCATGAATGAGATAGGTCAATGCACAGGGATTAAGCAGCTGATTGCTTGAAATAATGTTTCCTGACTGAGAATTGGAGTGACAGCAGATTTGGCAGTATCCATCACTTGTCCCATGCAGTTCACATTTCAGATCGACGACCCCATGTCAGAACACTTCTGAAACGTTTACTCTGTTTCTCTCCAGAGATGCGATAGTGAATATTTCATAGAAACAGAAAACAGGAGGAGTAAGCCATTCGGCCCTTTGAGCCTGCTCCACCATTCAATATGCTCATGGCTGATCATCCAATTCAATACCCTGTTCCTGCTTTCTCCCCATACCCTTTGATCTCTTTAGCCCCAATAACTATATCTAATTTCTTCTTGAAAAAATTCAATGTTTTGATTTCAAACATGTTTTGATTTCAAACATTTTCCATTTCTAATTCATATTTTCAGCGTCTGCAGTGTTGCCCGAGATGTGATGGAGACACCAGCTTCTGTAAGCAATAATCAGCCAACTGGAGTACACTCAAATTGGATATCATCTTTCCATATTTTATTCACTTTCACACAGTGTTTGCTTTAGTCCGTGTACTGGAGGCAGCGTTTAAAGAGAGATGTCCATGCCAAGTGTGGCAGCAGGATAAGTTGAATGTTGTAATTATACCTGTTCTCACTGTCCATAAATATCCTGCCTTTAGTTTGTAACTGAACTTATTCCTTATTATAAATATCTGAGTTCTACAGACTGGATGTTGCAGCTTCAGCTTTATATGCCAAACATACCTGGTCAGCAGTAAGATTGCTGCAATGGGCCTCAGCGTCCCAAGCTCAGTTATGTGCTACCTTTGCTAACTTAAACCAAAGAGGAAGCAACTGTTATTTTCTCTTGCCGCTGTGCCATACAGAGAGAGCAGTTTAAAATAATAAGCAGTCAAGATATCAGCCAGAGTAACCAAAAACATACTGGAATTAGGTCTCTGATTAAGTTATTACATCTACTCATGAGAGAACATGCTATTCACACCTACTGTCTAAAAGCTCACACCTAGAGTGTGACTATTTGGGCAAAGCCCCAGATAACCTGACAATCCCAGAAACTATCCTCCCAGGAAAAGGAAAAACCTGGCAATGATTCACTCAACCCAAGTAGGTTTTTCCTTCATACAGGTGAAGATGAGGGGCTTTAACAACACATTGATTGCAGTCCAGCTCCATTAGATCGTAGAATTATAGAACCCCTACAGTGTGGAAACAGGCCCTTTGGCCCAACAAGTCCACACCAACCCTCCAAACAGCATTCCACCCAGACCCATCCCCCTACCCCTTCTCTGTAACC